CCCACCCACCCACCCTCACATACAGGGCCCAGTGGATGGGAAACTCATGCAGATCTCGATGATGCCCTTCTTCGACTCCAACACCTCGACCTTTATGCGGTCGCTGTGGGAGCTGCTCACCGAAGCGATTGATCGGTCCAAACGGGGTCTCCCACACCCGCAAGCCGGGCGACCGGCTGTCCAGGCTACTGGCGAGCAGATCCACCGGGCGCAACACCTACGTGATCGGGTTTTCGATGAAGAGCGCCACTCGCGCGGCGGCCATGTGCGTACCTTGCAGCAAGAGGCGTCCTGGGGAAGAGGGCTCCTGCTTTCCTCTTCTCCCCTCCCCACCACCATTACCTTCCCGTCTCGGTGGCTTCCTTCCACATGCAATCCTGGTCCCCCTTTTTCTGACTCGACAGCAATTTCCTCACGACGCACCGATCCCTGATGGGTCGGGAAAATACAGACCCAGCATGGCGGTCGGCCGGACTTCCGCGGCGAGCGGCCATCCTATGGGGGGGATCGTGGTCACGGCCGGCGCGACCATCGTCGCGGTGGCCGCCAACCGGACCGCTACGATCGCAATGATCGCAATGATCGCTACGACCGCTACGACCGCTACGACCGTTATGATCGCCACGATCGCTCTGATCGCTACGATCGCTCTGATCGCTACGATCGCTCTGATCGCTACGATCGCCACTACCGGGGCGTCGGGCGCTATGGCGCTGGTGGCCACCGTGACCGGTCGCCCTATCGCGACGAGTACGACCGCCGTGGTCGTCAGGAAGAGCATGATCGGTACCGCCGGCAGGATAGCCGCAGCCGCAGCCGCAGCCGCAGCCGCAGTCGAGACCGCGGGAGCTACGACCACGAGCGCGGCTCTCGATCCCATCGGCGCAGTCGCAGTCGCAGTCGCACCCGTAGTCGCAGCCGCAGCCCGAGCTACGGCCGGCACCACAATCGCCCGGTTGGTCGAAGCCGCAGTCGCAGTCGCAGTCGCAGCCCTGGCAGCCCGCAGCGCGGCCGCGAGGAGGGGGTTGGCTTTTCGCGAAACCATCGTCACCACAGTCGGTCCCGGTCCCGGTCCCGGTCTCGGTCTCGGTCCCAGGTGGGTGGTATGATCAGCCGGAGTCCTAGCCGTGAGCGCGATGTTGGTGACGACACCAGACGTCGCAGTCCCTCGCCCCAGTGAATGCCACATTTTGCGCTCCCCGATGGCCATCGTCTCGGACTCTCCAGATCCGGAAGGGGGGGAGAAGCACATAATACCTTGCTGGCCGGCTTCTGCTTGCTTTTCTTTTCTGCTGGCTAAATGTCACGGAATTACATGAGGCAGTCGAAAGTAGACTGTCCCCTGATATGTCACAGAGGGAACTCGTCTGCTTCGTGGTGAAATTTACTATGGTGTCTTTTTTCTTTCTCCTTCTCGCGCTCTCGCACTCCTGCCTCCCGGCTACTCCCATGGCACGTGTGGGACACTGGACATGGGCCTGGTGCTGGCTGATGTTAGGGGCGTCAAACTTCCAGAGACAGGGACAGAGAGAGGGGGGGGGCGGGGATGGGGACGGGTGGGAAGAAGCAAAGGCGAGCGCGCCTGCTTTGCGGCTCGGAGATGCCCCGCTGAATGGCTTGTCGAGGTGTGCACCCGAACTGGGGACGAGGATTGATTCGACCGAGAGGGCAGTTTGAAGCCCGGGGGTCTCTGTGCCCGAAAAGCAGCGCATTCGTCCTTCGGGCTGGGCAACCCCAGGCACCAGATGTGAAAGGGTTGAATGTCTGGGCGGGGGGGGCGGGGGCGGAGGGACTGCTTGTGGGTCTTGTACCTGGGCTCGGGTTGCCCTGAAGCGAATCTCGTGTTAAAAAAAGTCCCGGAAGCAGGGGTGCAAGGAAAAGACCGAGCAGAGGCGGCCGGAGAAGGGATCGAAAAGACAAGGATGGCGAGATAGTGAGCAAAAGGCCCATGCCCACGATCGGTTGGCGTATGAGAGCAGAGAAAAATAGCCCCGGGGGAGGGGCCCCAGGAGGGATCACGCCCGGCCGTGGCGGGGGGGATCTACCACTTGTTGACAACGGCAACCTGCGAATGTGAGTGCCTGAAATGGACATATAACAAGCGCACCCTCACTGCCCGGGCCTGGTCGCAAGCAAGTCGGCATTCCTCGAACCGACCAACTGCTGTGTCCTGGAGAGGAGGGCCCCAAGGAAGCCATGCACGGTGCCGCACCAGAGGGGGGCCGGGGGCGACAACAACCAAAGTAGCAAGCCCAAAAAGAACATACAGAACAACACAACAACCCCCGAGTCAATATTCATACACACACGCACCCACCCACATACGCCCACACCCACACAGATGCTCACCCGGGCCCTGCTTGGGAGGCACAAACAAGAAAAGACAGGGCTGCCATCGCCCCTCGGCTGAGGGAACGCAAGCCCACCCACCCACCCACCCGCCCCCCCCCCTCGGGCCAGGGAAAAGTGATTATCGGGAGGGCGCAACAGGCGGCTGAGCGAACCCCAATGTTGTGCACAAGCAGATTGAGGGGCGGATCACACGAGGAAAAAAAAAAAAAGATGAGATAGAACGGTGTAGTGACAGAAATGGTGGCGGCAGGGAACAACAAGGATCGAGAAGGATATGGCATGCCGGGTGGGGAGAGAGGGGGGGGAGATGGGAGAACTGGTAGGAGGAGGGGGGAGGAGGGAGAGGGGGGGGGGACTGAGACAAGGGCTATGGCTGGGGGAGGAAGAGAGGTGGAACTGAGGAGGGAGGGGAGACTTCGCCACAGGACCAGGCGCATGTGCGCGCGCAAAAGGAGCGAAGAGGTGGAGAAGAGGAGAAAAGAGAAAGAACATTGCGGAGAGGGGGGGGGGGAGCGGGGGAATGGTCAGCGCAAACGCCGCCACCGCAGATCCCTCCTCGCGCGTGTGTACGATCATCCTCCAACTTCCTTCCTCGTGCTCGGTCGCCCCTTTCTGCGAGGGAGGGAGGGAGAGAGAGAGAGAGAGAGAGAGAGAGAGAGAGGCCTTGACACAGTGTCCTCCGTGTCATGCGCGCACAGCGCCAGTTCACCAGCTCGCCAGTAACACATATACACACACAAACACACGCAAACACAAGCACGCAAAAGGAGAGGATGCTCCTGACAGAGGCCATCACTCTCGCCCAACGAGACACACGCCCGCGGCCTCTCGCGCCCGCTCACGGTGAAGGGGGGCCAGGTGGGGGAGCAGCATGTGGACGAGGAACGAGACACAGTACTTCCCCCGTCCCCGGCAGAGGAGGGACGCGAGGGCAGGAAAGAGACACAAGCATACCCATACACAGACACACGCAGTCACACAGACACACACACACACCCCCAACAACACCAGCCATCAGTGTGCGGGGCATATGCACAACCAGGGGGGGGAAGAAGAAGGTCGAAAGATCACATCAACGCCTGTTTGTGCGAGCAAGGAAGGGAGGTAGAAGAGCAAGGGAGGGGGGGGGGGGAATGCGCCCCAAAGCAGGGAAAGGGGATCGCATGGGTATGGTGTGTGTGTGCATGCGTGCGTGCGTCCGTGCGTGTGTGTCTGTGCGTATGTGTGTGTGTGTGTGATGTAGAGGGAGGGGGAGAACGAGGCCTGGGAGGGGGGGGGGGGAAGGGGAAGAGAGAAGGGGTGCACATAGACACACAGTGGGTCCGCTTATTTAGAAGAGGAGGCAGCTCTTGGACTTCTTGCCAGTGGGCTGGGGGGACTGCTTGTTGATCTGGCGGACGAGGTCGATGAACACCTCGTCGACGTTGATCTTCATGCGGGCAGAGGTCTCGAAGAAACGGACGGAGCCCCACTCCTTGGCGAGGCCCTCACCCTCGTGCTTCTCGACCATGCGGTCGTCCTGGAGATCGCACTTGTTACCGCACAGGACCATGGGGACCTGTGTGTGAGAGAGAGAGAGAGAGAGAGAGAAGCGGGAGGAGGGAGGGGAGGGCAAGGGGATCAACAAGGCCGCGGGAGGGGGGGGGAGGGAACATAAGAAGGTCAGCGGGCGGGTGGTGCCGGTAGAGGAAGGAGGTTCTCTCTGGGGAGGGGGGAGGGGAGAAAGAAAAGAAAAAGAACCGGAGGCCGGGCGGGCGGACGAACCTTGTCGGTATCCTTGACACGGAGGATCTGGGCGCGGAGCTCAACCAGGTCGTTGAAGGTGGACTTGGAGGTGATGGAGTAAACGAGGATGAAGCCCTGGCCGTTCTTCATGTAGAGGTCGCGCATGGCAGTGAACTGCTCAGTACCGGCGGTATCCAGGACCTCGAGCATGCACTGCTGGTTGTCGATCTCGACCTGCTTGCGGTAGGAGTCCTCGATGGTCGGGTCGTACTTCTCAACGAAGATGGACTGGACGAACTGGACGGTCTGCGAGGCGCGAAGGATATGGGGTCAAGCAACAGGAAGGGAAGGAAGGTGAGAAGGGGGCGGGACGAGGAGGACAGCGCGAGGAGGGCGAAGGGGAGAGGGGAGGGTGGCCGTGAAAAGCAAGGCAACACGGGGGAAATATGTGGCCAGATGCAGAAGAGAGTAGCAATAGGGGGAGGAGTGACATGAAGAAAGGAGGAAAAAGGAAAAGGCCAAGCCCGAGCGGTGCATGGTCGCCGGTGCGATGCGATGATGTGGCATGGGAGGGAGGGGGGGCGGGAGAAGACGTACGAGGGCGGACTTGCCAACACCACCAGAGCCAAGAACGACAAGCTTGTACTCACGCATGATTAACTGGGAGGGGGGAGGGAGACTGAAAGGAGGGGGGAGTCAGAGCGGCGGCGCAGGGACAGGCTCGGGAAACGCAGGGGGGAGAGGGGCAACCAGGCGCCGAGGCAGCCCGGAGGGCTGAGAGCGGCAGCGAGGAAGGAAGCAAGTGCAAAGCCCAAGGGCGGAAAGGGGGAGGGTGATTTTGGGGAAGGGAGGGGGGCAGAGGAGATGGCCCAGGTGGGAAGAGGGCGACGGCGGCGCAGGCGCAAAGCAGAGGAAGGCAGACAGAGGGGAGGGCGAAATGCAAGACGGAGCGCCGTGCGCGGACAGGAGCCGGGGCTCTCCACTCAACAACACCAGTGGAAGGAGCAGAGGAGG